ATAATATTCTATTTGATAATAATACTAAAAGGTTTAGAATTTTGTAATAATACGTTAATCAATTCTATCAAATATTTTGAGAGAGATAGGTGGCCTTATCAAATTTTTAAAATTATTTAATAAAGATGTTTATATAATAGACTAATTATTTTTGATGAAATTAAAAGGGATAATGGGCAAAATTTGTTTTTACATGAAATCATTTAGAGAAAATAATATATATAATGAGGAGATAGTATAATTGCGATTTGAAGGAATTCCTTTATTAGATTGGCTCAATGGATAATGTAATAAGAACATAAATATAATGTATTTGGACTTAATAATCATTTATAGAATTGGGATTAGTAGAGCCAGATTACTTATATTACTATTAATGATAATGTGTAAGAATTTATCTCTTATCCAATTTAGTATAGCAATAATTTATGTTTATTGAAAAATGATTCTATTTCATAATTAAATTTATGTCTATTAATAAAGAATATGAAGGAACTATATGATTATAAGAGAATACACTATAAATTTTAAATTTTTTAGGTTATATGATTGGCCAAAGAGCTTTTGATATGATTTTGCTACTTTGATTCTTAATGCTAGTTCTATTGATACTCATTTATTTTGTAAGAACTTCGAATAATCATAAGGATACATTCAATAATTCCTTGATCAACTCAATTTATTACAAAATTAATATTAGTAATCTAAATCAAAAAATTAGAGATTAATTATTTAAAAGTCTTAATAAAATTGAGGAGGCAAATATTGAATTTAGTACAATAACAATTCAATGTAATAAGTATAATTAGGAACATTAAGAGGTCATAAATTAAATATATATAATAAATAATGAGATATCTAAGGACAAATCATAATTTGGAGTAATTAACTAATAAATTTATAAGTTGAATGAGAATATAAATAAAGGTGAAAGAAAATAAATAAACCAGAATAATAATTAAATCAACAATTCCAAGAATATAATAAATAAAGATTACCAAGTTTTCAAATAATTTAAGAATTTCCTTTTTTTTAACTATTATAAATGGAATTGATTCATTTAGTTGATTTGCATATATGGATCAATCTTAAATGGAACAATTTACTTTGAAATATCTATAATCCTCATAATAAGTTTAAATATTTTATTGGTATCAATTTACATTTAATTATCAATAAACTAACATGAAAATTAGAATTTAATAATTTATTCTCATAAACTGTATAATAATATGATGAAGTGAATCTATCACTCAAAAATTTGAGATTCCTTATAGAAAGGATGGTTCATTTATGGATCCCATTTAAGAGTAGTAATTGAGTTTCCTCATATCCTCTTAGTTTAATAGCATAATTAATCTAGATGTTATTAAACAAATTTAAGAATTTATTGATCAATAAGTATAATAGAAATAATTAAATAGATAATTCAATTTTGAAGTTTATCATCCCTTAATGATGCTATTGTTATTAATTTAGGAAAGTTTGTAATAATCAGATATTTTTGATTGTCATTAATTATATTAAAATCCCTTAATGTTAGATAAGTTGATTTTAGTGATGGATTAAATAAAGATAGACAGTTCTGAACAATATTGGATAATAAATATACATTTCACATTGTAGATAATGCATTTGATTGAAAATACATTTAAAATGCAACATCATTTGTTGATGAATTTCATTTTATTCAAATAGATCTAAGAAATAGAACTATTCTTAAGATTAATACTTTTATCTTAAAGGTTAATAATTATAAAAGGATTTAGCAAGTACACCATTTTTTGATGATTTTCATTCTTTGATTTCAGGATATCCTAAAGAATGATAGAAATGGTTGGATGAAACATTATATATTCATTTTAAGACTTTAAACCTAAATATCTAAAAAGATTCATTTATGAATACATAAAAGATAGGTTAGCTAGAGACTCTACTTAAATCAAAGCGAATAAGCAAAACTAGACTATAATCATAATTAAGTTAATTAGTAGAAGATTTTCGGCACACGAAAGTATGAAGGATTATTTATTTATATTTAATTTGATAATCGATATTCTTGGGGAGGAGCCATAAAGTGCACCAAAGAAAAATATTGGGTAGATTCTATAATATGCAGAGGCGCGAAAGTTAAGTGTACATAAAAAAGACTTTGGATTTTAGTCTTAAAATCAATTTTATTAATTAATCTTATTTTGAGTTCCTTGCTATTCTTATTTTATCTATAATAGAGTTTGGAGTGAAAGATTCTCCTTATATGAAGCTTTTTGGTGGAACCTTATTTTTAATCTTTAATATTCATGAAATCGCAGAACTAGATTTTGATATATAATGTAAGTTAATGATAAAACAAAATTCTTTCTGTATAAGGAATATCGAATATCGAATAACCACACCAATATAAACCTATTGCTAGGCATGGGAGCCAAAAAGGTTTAAAATTAAACTTTTTATGATACTGTTTAAGATTAAACAATTAGGTCATATTTCTGGAGTTTGACACCTCAATTAAGAATAAGAGAAAAGAGGCTAAAGATCTATGGGAAAATATTTTTGGTCGAACAACAATTAGTGATATATTTGAAGATAAAATATTTTAATATTGTTATTTAGAAATGATATTCAGTTTCTCTTATTCTAATTCATGTAACTATCTGCATCAATATTATTAATTATTTTAACATAATAAGAAATCATTGTATTGATCCTTTGAGGATAAATGACTTTTTTCTTTTTCAAATTTTCTAGATTGACTATCTTCATATTGATTAATAATTAGTATAACCTTTATATTTCCTATTATTTTTCAACTTTATCTGATTCAATTGACTTTAATTAAATAAATATTATTTAAATAAATCAATCTAAATAAGTATAAAACTTACTTTTTATATTTAATACAAAGTTTTTTGCTAAATTAAATATATACGCGAAAATATCAATTATAATGACGTATTTATAAAATTTAAATATTATATGAAATTGCAATAAATCTCTAAAATTAATTCAATATTCAATGGCTTGTAAAGAACTGAATTTAATTAAAGATCAAGTTGTTATTTTCAGCTCATGATTAAATTGTAAGCCTTTAGCTTTATTGTATAGATTGGAACATTATATGATTGTAATGTTGCTTAATAATTATTTGAATAATGTTAACCAAACTAGAGAGGGCAGGCCTATTTAAGAAGATTTCACACAAGTTATTATACAGTAGAAAAAGTAGTTAAGGAAAAAATAAATCAAACAGTATTTGCAATAATCTAGAGAAGAATCAAATGAATATCATAATTAACATGAGAGTTATAATGTATTTAATAATAAGATAATTATAAACTTAATACATAGGAAGTAGATTGAGATTCTTAATTAATAATAGTGATTAAGTAGGTTCATAAGATACATTATTCTGATTATCATAATAGTTTTGTTGTTATAGCATTAGTTGATGTTGAAGTGTAATATAATCCTACTTTTATTAAAAATCTAAATTTGAATTAAGTCAATATAAACTGGTTCTGAATACATTAATAAAATAATTTGTATAAGATAGAAACTAGAGAGGAATATTAATTGGTTAAAGTCATTAAGATTGATTTTTAAATATGAATAAACATTTAGTAAAT